AGAGAGTTTAGGTAAAGAGACATGAAGAGTCAGAGACAGCAGACCTCCAGAAGTAAATGAAATCAGATTTTGTTTTTTAACCATGTGCTGCTTAGGGTGGAACATATTCTTATGCAGCTCAGAGAGCTGGGAAGAAACATGTTTGAAGTTTTGATTTCAAAGAACTGTCCAAAATCTGTCCATCCACTTTTCACCCTCCCACATGTAAAAACAGAGCAACAAGCAAAAAGGACTCCTTCCAGCCAGAACATGTATTTCCATTTGAGTACTTTGGTAAATCAGAAGTGGGGCAAGAGGGAATTTCACCAGAACTGCAAGGAAGGCTGGCTCGGAGATGTAGCCAATGGCTTACATGTCTCCTTACCACTAATTGGTGCTGTGATGCCAGGCAGTAACCAATCTGTGACAGTGACTAATCCAGCAGGCACTTTAGAAATGAGTACACAGCTGTTTGAAGTCTAAACTATATTGAGTTACAATTTAATTGGTCCATAATCATGAAGCAAACACTTGCCAGTTGCACTAATCGTGTTTCAACCCTGATCTAGGCAGCAGTTTCCCCACTGGAACATGAGGAAATATTATGGGAAAATATGAGCAGAGCTTGCCCAACTTTTCCATAGATGTTTCCGTGGATGTTTCAGACCCTAGCCCTTCTGCTCAGTACACATCTAAGTCCTTCCAGAAGACTCTTGTTCAGATGCCCGACCTATCCTCTGCCTGGGAAGGCTCTTTGTCTTCTTTGCCTTAAAAGCAGGTCAGGTCTCATCTGCACTTTTTCCAGATAGGAAGAACCTTCTTCCACAGATGTGGGTGGAACATACCCCTTCCCGAAGAGCTATCTGGCATCCGATCCTGCCCTTCACACAAATGTACTCAGATCCCATCTAGTCTGCTTTGTGACTTAATCCTTCAGCCCTCCAGTGCTATCCCCATGTCCATTGCCAGAATGGGTCTGCCCCAGGTGCTTAAAGTTTTATGTAGAACTTTTCCCATCACTGGAGCAGAAGTGATTTTCTGCTGATTTTCTATTCAGCACCTCAGGCGAGCCAGAGGCAGGCTCCGAAAAGCCTATGAAAGGCAACTGAATGAATATACTGTTCCCTCCAATTGTGACTCCATCATTTCCTCTCATTACTCTAATAGAAACAAATCTTTCTCATCTCAGCCCTATTACCTCACACAAAGGAAAATGGTATGTAATCCCGTTAGAGCTGGGCTGCTGCTGGACACATTTTAAGGTCATTGTTCTGGGATGGCAGTCTCCACTGTGTGAGACTAGGAGAAGTGGGAAATGCAATTACTAGGCTATTCAAATCTCCAGAATGAAATGCTGCTGTTAACAGGCAGAAGCCAGCAAGAAAAAGAGCAGTTGCTTTATGAAATTATAGGGTTTGGCTAAATCAGAGTCTAATCAGCACCTCAGTAAAGGAGCTGGGTTAGCTCCTACTGCCATCCATGGAGTCTCCTCGTTCCCCTCAACCTGATCTTTGGCATCCCCAGTGGAAGCTCAACCTGCAAGATGGGTTATGGTCATGAAGCCAGTGGTGTACAAGTCCAATGGTGGTCCATGTCCAGAATTTGCATTGTACTTTGAAATGGGGAATTCCTAAGAGTTCAGCAAGAGGAATCTGCCTGCTGCTGCCATCACCTCATACTGTACTTTATCTCTGAGCTTCTTGGGGGCAGATTCTGGGATCAAATCTGTCTCCTAATATTCATGGCCTACAGCACCAGTCTTGCTGATTGCTGGTGCAACCCAGCTAAACAGCCAGGTGTGAAATTCACATTGCTAAACTCATGGAGTTGTAATCCCCCTCAAGGAATTCATATGCTGGAGGAAAGAAGGGGGCTAGCACTGCTTGTGGCAGTTGGTGAAGCAAAGCAGAACAATAAGAGTGGAAATGATTACAACCGCCTCATCGAGTTGGCTTCTACCAAGTGATTAGACGCTGACAAGTTCCTAACCATTCCCATCCAAGTGAAGCCAAGGCATTTTTAGCTGGATGGGTAGCAAAGAAAGAGTCAGAAATCTTGCAGGACAAACATTAGGGGAGACCACACAAGAGCAACAATGACCATCACAAACCAAAAGCAGAGACAAACTTTTGTTCCGGACTGTTCCTGACAGCCAACCTCCTACTGTTATGCCCTGTGTTGCCTTCTTCTTCTTCTGCCCCACACTTGAGCTATATGGCTGCTCTTGTTGGTCTCTCCTGCAGTTGGGCACTCTTCTTACTGCCTTGAAGCCCCTCTTCATCTTCACCTTCCCTACTTGATTACCCTCCCGCTGCCAATGTTCCCTCAGTCTTCCAAAGGATTTCTGTCCCACCAGATAAGGCTGGTTTTCTGCTGAAAGCAGGACCATTCTTGCAGGTCCCAGAAGGAAGTGATGTGGGCTGAGGTAAGGCTCCTGTTAGCGAAGGAGAAAGCAGCCGATCACCACTGGAGTCTCCAAGTCCCTTGAAGAGACGAGAGTCACTTCCCTGTTTATGCTCTTTATTAGTCCCTATTCTCTTTAATCGGCTTAGACTGATGAGCCGAGGCAGCGGTAGGGATCAGCCGGGCTGTTTAATTAAAGGATTGCAGCTCAGCCCTGCAGTTTGGGGGCTTGTGTAAATGAGCTGCAAGTACATTATTTAATCTGCTGCGCAGAGAGGAGTTGGGGCATTAATGAAGCAAACTCTAATTAAAACTAGACGGCTGATGGTTATTAGTGGCATCAGTTCTGACAGGATTTATCTCATTTAGGGAAATGCCTGATCATGGAGGGGGAAAAGAAAGAATAAACCCTAGCTGGTTTATCAAATTCACCACAGCACCACTTGTGACTGTATGTCCATTCAGCAGGGCTCAGGAGAGCTGCACAAGGAGACCCTGTGTCCCAGGCTCTCCCATCAGGAGCCCTGAGGAGCTTATTTAGGGATACGCCTGGCTCACCCAGGAACTGATTGCCTATTCAGGCTGTCTGACCCACATATTTCAGTCTTGATTGACTTTTGTTCTGCCTTGGTTCAATGGGGAGCCTGTTCATGATTTGAACAGGGTGACAGGCTCTGTAAATGATCTGATAAGCTTCTCCCAGCAGCGTATTATGCCATTCCAGAGCAGCATAGCTATGAGCTATGGACATCAGCTCCACGGTGATCCTGTGTTTTTCCCTCTCTGCCATTTTTTTGCCCTCCTCACTGCATTGTATATGTAACTTCAGATATGAAGGCAGCCCATGACTGACTGCAGGACCTGGCAGAGGCCAGGAGGTGTTTTCTGGCCAGCATAAAGCTGACCGGTAAGTTTAATAGTCCTTGCCAAATCCCAGGTGAGAAATTTAGTGGTTCCCAGCACAAGGAGGGCAGGCAAACTCAGGCTCAAAGAATGGGTAGGGCCTTTGGGAGTCACTGGGACAAAAGGACGGCTTGAAGCATGAGCATGACAAAATGACCCTAGAGAGTCTTCACTGTAGGAGTGATAGCCTTGCAGGACAAGAAAATGCTAGAAACTAAGGGAACTGATCAGAAATAAGATAGAGGCTGGTACAAGAAGGGGGCAGGGTCAAGGATCAGGGTATGAAGATATAACACTGGCAAAATTAAGCCCCAGTTCAGAGAAAACAGAGCACATAACCAAAACTGTCTCTCCAGAAATGGAAGGGAAAAGTGGCTGTCCCTACCACAGAAACCTCTGCTGTCTCCTCTTCCTTGCCAGCATCTCCCCATCTGTCACAGAGGTGCAGATGCAGATGCCCCACAGGGCTGTCACGCAAACTTTACCAATATTTGAAAGCCCTTGGCACAGACATCATGGGGGTTAACCCTTCCATCTTCATACACAAATGGGCAGGAGAGGTCCTGCTTCTTTACCCTGTCTGCAAATATGGCTGAACCCCACTTTTGAACATACACACCCCCCCTCCTGTTCTCTTCACAATTGTTCAGCACCCACACTTTTACTTGGAAGGAAATCAGAAACCACAGTCTGCTCCAGCGAGCAGAACAAACAAGAGAAATATCATTTGAAAAATGCTGTAGCCTCACTACTGTAATTCAGCTGCCCAGTTCTGTCCAGAGCCCTCCCTAGTAACTCAGGCTTCTTATACAGATGCTAAAGGTCATGTGTAAAAGTCTAGCAGTGTGATGAGCAAAACCTTTAAAGAGAAACCTGTTTGCTGTTGACAGAAGGGTGATAAGGCATGAGGAAAAGCAGTAGGTCTGTGAGATGGAGGTGTAAGAAGTTGTGAGAGGAGAAGGAGAGAGCAAGAACAGAGGGACAAGGCCAAGAATGGAAGCTATATGCAGTATGTACATCTCAAGTATTTTTGAAACTCCTTGGACACCTTGGTCTTGGCATTATTGTCATTTGCTGAGGAGGGAGAGCTATGATAATTGCTGGGGTACCCACACATGGCTGCACTGGATACAAGTTGGCAGTAGTTAATAGTACCTCTCTGTAACTGTCCTTCGTTGGCAAGCTCAGACCATTTCAACACATGTAAAACTGTGCGCCCCCACCCCTGTCTCAGGGTGTGAGACAGAACCATGAGTTTGTTTAGTGACTTTTGCTGTAGCTTAAAGTTTATGGGTCTATACTGGTGTGTGTCCAGGCACCTTATAATGTGGGATAACTAATTATTTGAAGGACTAGAGTGAAACAAGTGTATGTCGGTGTCAAAGTGATGCAGAAGGTTAAGAAAAGGTACAAGCATGAATGTGGGTTGATGGAAGTAGATGTTTGAAGGGAGGCTGAAAGTATGGTTTTGGAGGTGCTTGGGGGTGTGTGAGTGGAGCCCAGAGTGGGTTTGTGAGCAATTACACAACAGTATGAACAGTAATCTCTGGGAGGGAAAAGAGAGAGACAGCAGTGCTGGGGGCATGGGATATACGGGAGGATGTAGGAGGATGGGTGTGTGTATGTGAGTTTTGTCTGGGGCAGGAAGATTAGTGATGGATGGTAAGGAAGTACGGGATGGAAAAGAAAAGGTCTTGCTGGCAGCAATTTCCCACCTTGGTGAGGAGTCTGGAGATGAAGGCTTCTGCTCTGCATCAGCTGCTGGGCAACAGAACTGGTGTAAAACAGTTTCATTCCTGTAAGAAAAAACAAACATAGCAGGTCAGTGTTCAGCTCACTCAGCAGAAAATTCAATGGAAAATGCCTTTCCTAGGGCTGTTCCAAGAGGACAGTGACTCTCAGTGATGCTGAAACAGAAATCTGGTTATTACATGAACATTTTGCACTCCTAAGTGGTGGGGAGCAGGAGAGAAGGGCAATGACAATTCTGTTCCCTTACCTCATCTGTCCTGCTGCTGATGTCAAGCTGTAGAGAATGGGGCAAAAGTGCCCAAACAAAAAGTTTTGCTTCTATCAGTATCTGTCTCATGATCCCATAAAGCTAATGAAAAACAGTTTTGCCTACCTCTAACTTTTATTTCTTTTGGGACAGAAACATCTCCTTAGATGTGTTTCCTTAGATATGTTTGCTATACATTGTCAAGCAAAGAAGTTGATATTTTGTTAACCAAATGGCCAAATTAACTCTGCAGACATTTCTCCTGAAACCTCTCTAGAGCACAGAGGTGGCCTCAGCACATCGGCACTGGGCACGACCAGAAATAGCAGTGGAAAACTTACAGGACAAGCACAAGTAGGTGCGTTGAGATCATGATGAGAGGAAGAGATCACAGCAAAGAAAAACAAAATCATAAGAAGCAACAAACTTGAGCAAAACAGGAAAATAAAAGGCTAAAAATGTGTTTATTAGATAAGAAAGGCAAAAGAATTCACCCAAAGGAAGAAATCTTCGACCAAACTTCCAAAACTGTCCACTAATCTTGAGTGACTACTTCTTTGGTCCCTTGCCTGTAAACATTTGTAAGGAGCCTGGGTTTTGGGGCTGATGGGCACTTATCACAGCACTGGAACCCAGTAAGAGTTGCTCAGCATCTCTGAAAATGAGATCCTTTCAAGATACCTGCAGGGAGGCCCTTGAGGTGTCACTGGCAGCACAAATAAACAGCCCATTTTGAACACACTGACCTTCTTCATCAGTGAAAAGGAGTCACTAAAAAGAGACGTGTTGTCAAGGCGGGAAAGTAATAGTGGAATGGGAAAGAAAATTAAGAGGAGAAGAAAAGCAGGGCAGATAAAGCAGGCTGAATCCTCAGATGGCATAAAATCACCCTGTCTCCAAGTCAATGGAACACCAGTTAGAGCTCTGTTCTCAGTGATACTTTGGAGACCCAAGGCTCATCTCCCTTTAAAAATATTTTTGCAGCTTCTAATTGAGACATAAGCAGTAAAGCTAAGTCTCCTGGCTTGTCATGGAGTCTCAGATTCTTCCAAAGGCCCTGCCACACTTTCCCTCACTCTGAAATGTGAAGCTTATCACCTTTGTCTTTCTCAAAATCTGACAGACATGTCCACAAAGATAGCTAAATTACAGACAATGTTGATACTGTTCCCAGCCACCTCCTTCTGGCCTCCCAGCTAGCTTAATATAAGAAACTGCTTAGTTCTTCCGCTTCCTTGGTTTCCAATGCATTCTCAAAAGGAATCTTTCCTTAGAAACAACAGGATTGGCGGGAGCAACACAGCAGGGGGAAGACAAAAGCATGAGCTTTTACCTCACTAACCTCTGTCCATGCCCTCAGTCCCTGTCTGTGACACGCAACCTGATGGAAAAGAAAGGACATGTTTGGGTGACATATCAAATTCATCTCCTGGTCTTCCATTTCTGTAACTACCCAGCTCGCAACCCGTCTCTCCTGCCAGTCTGGTTATTGCTGGTTCTCACTATGTTCTTTCTAATTTAAACTTCTCATGTGGCAAGTACCTATCTGACTGGTGTGTCCATAAATTACTCATGTTGTCTTTTTACTGAAGCAAGTGGTGGGATCAGATTTGAGTCTATGTTCAAGCAGGCTCACACAGATACTCCAGCTCCTACATCTTGTCACTCTGCTTCCGGCTAGAATCCATCAGGAATTTTCTGATGCAATTTTCGTTTCGCATAAAAACACTGATTCATCAAATTTATCTGGTGAAAACATCTTTGGTTTGACAAAGATTCTTCAAATTACCAGGCTTAACCTGGCTTTTCTGGCAGGCTGCTGGAGGGCCATGCCTCCATATCCCACATCTCTAGTGCAGCCACGCCATACAAGTAGTCCCTCAGAGAGGGGCCATCAGGTTTTCCACCCAGCTCTTTGTTCTGCCCAGCTCCCAAAGCAGCAATGCTGGGAGCTGGCTAGCCCAAGAGGTGTGGAGCACCTGTGCCAAGGCAGTCAGCTCTGCAGAGCATCCCTGGAGTTACAGACATCATCAACCGCAGTGTAGAAATGCACAAGGTTCTCAGCTGATTCAGCAAAAGCTGGCATTTATTCTGAAGAGCTTGCTTGGTTTCAGAAGTATTATATATTGTCATTTTCTACTGAATTTCATCTCTACAGGAACCCCTGGGAAAAAAGGGCCTACTTCAAGATAAAAGTAACAACATATTTTAAAATCATAGAATCATAGAATAATTTGGGTTGGAAAAGTACCTTAAGGTCATCAAGTCCGACCATTAACCTAACACTGCCAAGTCCACCACTAAACCACGTACCTAAGCACCACATCTACATGTCTTTTAAGTACCACCAGGGATGGTGACTCAACCACTTCCCTGGGCAGCCTGTTCCAATGCTTGAGAAGCCTTTCAGTGAATAAATTTTTCCTAATATCCATTCTAAACTTCTTCCGGCACAACTTGAGGCTATTTCCTCTTGTCCTATTGCTTGTTACTTGGGAGAAGAGACTGACACCTGCCTCACTACAACCTCCTTTCAGGTAGTTGTAGAGAGCGATAATGTCACCCCTGAGCCTCCTTTTCTTCAGACTAAAATACCCCAGTTCCCTCAGCTGCTCCTCAGAAGACTTGTTCTCTAGACCCTTCACCAGCTTCCAAATGGAATCTTCCAAAAAATGGACACCGCACATTTCATCCATTTCTAATCTCAACACTTCCCTAAATGCTTTTCCTCTGTTTTTATACAAACAGCAGATGCACCATTCCAGTTCCTAATTGCACACAAAGAAAGCAAACAACAGGGAGGGAAAACATAGGGAAAAAGAGGAAGGAACAAGGACAGAAAAAACCTGAGAAATAGAAGTCTGTATATAGATGAAATGCCTTGCTTGTTAATTATCTGGATAGAAACACAGAGAAAAGTAAAGGGGAAATGGAAAGTAAGAGTGGTACGAAATTACAGGACTTAAGGCTCAGTCTCCTGTGGGCATTTTAAGAAAAATATCTCAGAGATACTCTTCAGAGAATCAGTATGCTCTGATCACTGCAGCTGCACAGTCAGCTGTTGACTCTAGTTCTCATGACTTCTCATGTGTTTAACATGGTATTCTCTCCCCAAACCAGAGTCCTCTTTAACCTCTGAGATCCCAAGATCTCTGGAATAGTTGTGCATCTGACATACCATTACCAGATGTTGATCATGCCCACAGGCAGAAATCTGCCTCCAGGCCATCTGAGATCCTTGAGTCCCCCTCTGGGGGCCATGACTCCCAAGGAAAAGCCACCAGGTTGGTGGTGAAGAGCAGGCACTGCCTGATAGAGCTAAATATATGAGGTGTAAATGGCTATTCCAAGACTGTGCTGAAAGCTCTTCCCTGATTCAGGGCAGGGAAGGATATCTTGTTACTCCTATTAAATCAATCTGAGTTCCCCAAATGCCTGTGAGCAGTTGGAACTCCGGATCTATTTACATTCTTCTTTCACAGTTTGCTTCTCTTTCTCTGTTGTGCTACCCAGGCATAAACCACAGTGATGGTGTTCCACCTTGGAGATTATCTCTGTTCATTTTCCTCCTTCTTTCCAACTCTTGATCCTGTGTATATCTGATATTTTGCAAATCCATGCCCTCACTTTTGTAGCATAGCATGCAAAGCCCAGACAGAAGTTGGGAGAGGAAGGGTTAACTTGCTACGGAAGAAGTGGACCTGTTCCCACGCTGAAGAGGCTGTATTAATTTTGATCTGGACAAAGCAGCTCTCATCCGCGTGCAAAAGGCAAGTGTCCTAGGGTCTTACTATCACTTCTAAGCCTAAAGTAAGTGCTTTAGGAAAGCAGCTGTCTTCTTAACTGTGTGAAGTCTTCAGGTAAGATGTTATTTTTGTTCCTGTGATTCAAGAGGGCCTGGCAGGCTTGTAATGGCTGGTGGCTACCTGGATTTCATTCCCTTTTGGTGTTGTCAACCTTTTCAGTTTTAAAATGAGCCTTGAGGTATTTACTATCTGTCTGAGGTCAGTGTAAGACTTTTGATGGTGGGTTTTTTTTCCTTTCTGCACTTTCTTTTTATTTTGTTTGAAAACAAATCTTACTTCGTAAGTCAGAAAGGCTACATAAAACTTGAACGTGCAGCCTCTGAAGAGTTTAACACCAGAAAGCATAAGGCTTGTTTTGACTTTGAAAAACAGGGAGGAAGGCAACGTGCCTTCAGTCCAGTAACAACTGATTCAGACTCATTACTTTGGGGTGTTGAGACGTATTTTTTTTTATTTTTAAATACTTCAAGTAGGCGGCAATGGCATACCAATTAAAAGGGTAGGCCCAGGGCTTGCTTTTTGGCCTTTCTGTCTCTTCCTCTACATCCTCTACCTTGCCTTCCTCAGATTTGCAAACCATTGCAGAGACTGCAGCTAAACAAACACTGTTGTGGGCAGATCAGGCAGTTGATTGGGAGAACAGATGATTTCTCCTGTCTGTCAGGGTGCTGTTGAACAGTTCTGTTTCCAATGTATTGCTTTTAAACCAAATAAATTAGTATCTCTTGGGCTGCACCCCAATGAAAGCTTGGAAGGAAAAAGCCAGCAAGAAAAGAAGGTGTGCTGGGTGAGTGAAGAGGAGTTGGGCGGTACAGAAGAGGAAGAGGCTGACAGAGAGGGGGAGGCGTGCTGAAGGGCCTGTTGAGGTAAATGTTGCCAGCAGTATGTGAGTTGTGTGTGGAGGAGAAGCAGAGGACAAGGGCAAGCACAGATGCAAAAGGAGGACTGGAAACAACCTAAGTCTGTCACTGCCTTGCTGTGTCTAGCTGGG